TGTTATTTTTTATTATCCGCGAATGTTAGCAACAGGACAAATTGAATGCAGCGGTCAAGGAAAAACGACCAGAATTGACCGCACACGTCTTTGTCCACTCGGCAAAAATTGATGGATATTGGTTGGGAATTGATGTTACACCCACCATATAGCCCTGATCTCGCGCCATCGGATTACCACTTATTTAGATCCCTGGACAACTCCCTTCGTGGTAAAACTTTTAATCATGATGACGCTGTAAAATCTCACTTAACTCAGTTTTTGGCCGAAAAGGATCAGACTTTCTACGAGCGTGGAATTTTCAAGTTGTCAGAGAGATGGCAAAAGGTCATCGAACAAAATGGAAAATACATTACAGATTAAACTTCATTCCAAGTAAAAAGAAATTTTTTATTTCATTGAACAAATCGGCAATTACTTAGTTGCCAAGCCAATAAAAGGGGCGAAAGTCAACGCGCGCGAAAGGGCAGGGAAACGCGAAGTTCCAGGGCAGCACGCGTGTGCGACCCCCGAATTCGACTGGATGTCGATGGTGAAACGTGAAACGTGGGCCGTGCTGCCCGATAGGCTAGGATAGGTCGGCGTCTCGAGTACGCGCTCTGCGTTCAAGCATCGCGATGCGAGTGCTGCGAGACGGGAACCAGTATCGTGGAAGCGCGCGTCCCGTTCCGATCGTGCAACCCTCGATTCTTGTGCAACATTTTCGACGGTGCTCCGACACGCGAGAATAGTTTCGTACGGACCCGCTCCGCTTTCCTCCCAATGCCGGTGAGTTTTTCATTTTGAATACCGTTTCGATCGAGCGCCGAAAAGAAAAACCATCGAACCTTGTACGTCGAGTCAAATAAGGGGGATGATCGCGATGGGAAAAAGGTGTACGCGTAGGCTGCGCGAATATACTCTCCAGCATTTCCGTTAAAACGACAACGACGACGACTGGTCCTGATATCCCGGGTTGCACCGTGCCGGTTTTATAGCGATCGCTCGCGAATCAACCAATAAGCCGATTGCGCCAATTTATGGCAACGAGACGTCCTTAGCTTTCCGCGCTGCCACGGATATTTGTGGTGGCAAACTGTCACTGTCACTGGGCATCGTGACGGCGACTTGTCAAATACCATTCTCGTTCGACACAGTCCACACCGAAGTCGAACGGAAAGGCAAAGCGACGGAACGAAGTTTCATTAATTACATCGAGGATGAGTCCTTTCGTCGATGTACCAAACGAGAATCTTGCAACGAAATCGACGCGTCTAAAAGATGAACAACATTCTGTCGCCGGTGTTCGCGGCAATCACTGGATGACAGACGATGCGACGAAAAATCGCGCGCCTCCGGTGTCTCTTTAAAAAATGCAACTGTCATCAAATTACCCGTCTCCGTCTCGAAGCGCAGTGCCGACAACACATGCATTAGACGGCCCGCGAAATAGTTTCTGGCTCCGGAGTGAATCAAGCAGGACGATCACGCGGGGAATTCGACAAAAAATGATAGTAATAGGATTCCTGTTTACGAAACCGAGCGTTTCGCAGCGGAAATTCGCCCCGATCCGGTAATTAACTCCGGTAAAACTGCTCACCGATGGGATTCGTTAATGCCGCCTGCATATCGGCATCCCCAGAATCTCTCGTCGCGTTGCCGGATACCGATTAAATTCCGAGGGATTGCGGAACTTTATCCGAGACGGTCGAACGAACGTTGCGGAAGAAAACGGGGCTTCTCGCGCGGAGAAACTGCCGATGGTTTACGGTAGCGAAGCGTTTCCGACACGGGTGAATATTCATCGCGTTTTCGGCGTAGGATCGAACGGAATTAATATTCGGCGGACCCTTATAGAAATGACACGCGAAATAGTGGCGCATCCGGAATTATCAAGCAAATATGTGGACCGGCGAGACGCGTGTCTGTTGTGTACGTGGTGCCGCTTATGCGTTCGCTAAAAGCTTATGGAAATTTCGGGGCTGTATTATCCCTCGATTACGGAAACGGTACAATATGATTCGCGAAAATGCAGCTGGATGCTCGCCGGCATCAGGACGAAGCGGATGCTTTGTCGTAGTCGTGAATCGCTCGTTGCCAAGCTTCTTTTTGTCTCATCGAATCTCATTCCCTGTAGCCTCGCGTTCGCTATTCTTTTCTTTTTCGGAGAAACAGCGCGGATCGCGTCCCTACTAACCCTAAAAGAACCGGGCAGAAAGCTCTCCAGCTTATCAGCTATGTTTCAGAAACGTGTTGTATTCGCTGCCGAGGATATATTTATAAAGCTCTCTCTCTCTCCTCTCTCTACTTGTGCTCGCTAGTGTTTTTTTGTACGAAATGTTAAAGATTTATTTTGGAATAGATCGTAATTATTGGCTCTGTCCACAAATTCGTGCGGTTTCAATTTCGATTTCGATTTCGATTTCGATTTCAATTTCAATTTCAATATCAGGCATAATAATTCTCCAACAATTCGACAGCTTCGGTTTCCTTCTGTTATGCGATTGTTGAAAACTATGAACAGAATGAACATCTCCGACATGTTTTGCTGTACGATTAAATCGTAAACGTTCGTTCTTGTTAACTCGACACCCCATTAGCTGTCAAAAAATGAAAAATTCTTCCTAAAGAATTCTTTACGAGTTTAATCGTACGGTAAAAAAGCTATCGAACGATGTACGAGACGTAACTGTTAGTCAATTATTATGCGGGAAATTTAAATCGAAATTAAAATCGCACGAATTTATGGACCGACTATGCAATTATGTCTATGCAACACGAAAATTGTTCGCATCGATTAAAAGGAACAGACATTCGATAAAAATCAATTTCTTGCTCTTCCAGTGTTTTTCTTTCACCGTTTCGTATACTTTACACAATGATATTTCTTTCAACTGCATAACTGCGAGTTTGCAATATGGCATCATATTGTCGACAGTAGATATTAAGTCATAAGTGTTTGTCACTTATGCATTTATTATTTTATTAGTTTATCCATGCATTGTATTTTGTTCATTGAAATCGACACCAGGGTACATTTTATACTCCTCGTTCGGTACGACACACACATCGTTTCCTAATATGTTTTTTTAACCCATTTGCAATCATAAGCGTATATATACGCTCAATTTTCCTGGCCACTATCACCGGAGCGTATATATACGCGGCTGCGTTCGGTATTGAATCCAAATATTTAATTAATAAAATAACACACTCCCTAACGGTATAAGATCACAGAGGCAAGCACCGATACTAATAACTGTTGCACACACTCTTTGTTATCTCTGCAATCACTATCGCCGGTGCTGTGCACATAC